TACTCTAGATTGTAGTCTGGATTTCAAAGGAAATATCCAAATTGGATAATGTCCAAATGGGTAGACTCAGGGCTATTTTACACAGCCATTTAAACTGAGTCAGGAAGTGAAATGAAGCAAACCAGTTCACCGGCGTGCCTACACAAACACTCCAGGAACCAGTTGGAGGCTGAAACAATGACCACAAAGATCTACTGATTACACTATGTAACACATTTTTGTTCCTGGGTTATAAATGACATTTCCTAATTGGTTCTATCATAAAAAACATGGAAAAAGTTTATTAAACTGCAAAAATTTTCTTTTTGCCTAACATCCTGCAGCACATTTTGCTACTGTTTTTCAATGAATATCTCAGAGTCTCAACCAATTCAACACAGTTTGTGGCAGCCACAAAAATGAAATTTCTAGAGGATGACTTCTACTTTCAAAGTAAGTACTGCCCAATTAAACAGGAAATAACACTTTCAAACCAGGAACAGAAACACTTTCAAATTCTGTTACATAGTGCTATGGATTGATTCAAACCATATCCATCAGCATTCTACTATGGTAGGACACAGAAAATTGATACTTAGGGATGGAAAGTGAGTATTCCTATGGGAACATTGTGATTTTCCCTCAAAGGGAGGTGTTTAACTTTCTGTTGAGTGTGTTTCTGGGTTTTTCAAATGTGGCTGTGCTAGCCCTGTCTTGAAAATCTCACTTCTCGGTCCCAGTTTTGAGCCTTGCGTGAGATATACACCGATCAGATGCGGTGGATTTTGTGTCTTATTCTGCAATTTTTGGCAAGTTTTTTTAATATGCTGTTTCAGACTGGATGCATTTTGCAGTGTGTGTTGGGGGGGGGGGGGATGCATGTTTTGTAGACATCCTGACCTCAAGATGCTTTCAAACTGCAGTAAAATGCCTGTGTAAAACCGTCTCAGTCAAAGAAGCCATGGCCCTGAGTCTGCAAGAGCTTTTGATAACAGGGGAAAATGGAAGTCTCTCATTCATGAGGATGCCATAATTTGAAGTCAATGTGATGGCAATGAACAACAAAAAATCCAAATTACTGAACCTACCTTGAGTATAGTGTTAATTACCTTGGATTTCTGCTTCAATGTTCAGCCCAAAGCTCAGGCTAAAAGTATCTTGTAGAGAAGAAACACATAGCTGCTCCTGATAGGAAACCATGCCTTTCCACAACACAACATGAACACGTGGCTGGGAACATCTGGCTTATGAGTTCCTCTGCTTTTCCTTTTTCACAGCATCCACTTTTAATTTTGAACAAAATGCAGTCCATTTCAGTCCAAGCCATAGTTTGATTTTGGTTTGTTCAAACTAATCAAAGCCTAAATAAAACACAGTTCCAACATGTGAGGGAAATGCAACATGTGTAAAATAGCTTTTGATCTTTTCCCGTATGCAAGAGAGAAAAAGAGGGAAAACAGTTGAACTGAAAGCTAGCCATGAATCATTCATGTAGAAAAGGAACCCACAGCTCTTTGCTGCAGACTCTGAGCTTTGCTCAGCATGGGATTTAAAGTGGAAAGGATTTTTAAAAATGGAAACACAGTCAACTGATGTTTCACTTGCAACACATGGAAAATCAGTTTATTCCATTTCTCTTCAGACAAGATCCTTGAATCAGTTGGTCATCCCTGTGTTTACTAGGAGTATGCATTACCAAAAACATTTACAAATATTTTCACTTGTATTCATTTTTAAATCACAACAAGCTATTATTCTAAGCATGTGGATAGCCAGCTAGAAGACTCAGTATATACTTGCTTTGAACTCTTATTGCCAAATAAGGATGATCTAAGACTGCCAGGTTGCAACCTAAGAGATGGTGTCTATTTTTAGCTGACCCACAGCTGTAAAAGAGGATGCAGCTGTTACTTCTCTTATCCAACTCCTCCTCCTCGGTTTGTCACCTTCTCGTTTGTTAATTGTTGCCTCTTATTTTAGTCCGTGGGAGAAAAGAGTGGGTGATGATACTGGAGAAGATAAACCATAACTACAGCTATGTGGATCTGATTTTTTTTAAAAAAGACAGTTTCCCATTCTAGGGAAATTTCTCCCTTTGTGGGTGTGAAAAAGAGCCTTGATTCCCCCCCCTGCTGTGTTTGGGGAGGGGGGATGAGTTAAACATACCTTTTGTGAAATATGCAGAACATGTGTACTTCGACATCAAAATCCAAGCCCGAGTTTACATTAAATGTGACTCAGTATTTTGCCATCCAGTCCTTAGAAGCAGAAAAACAGTAAAGCTGTGACATGGAGATATTTTCATCAGATTGAGCCCAAACTAAGGGCCGAGATTAACTTTAACACTTTATCCTTGTTTTTGATTTGCTTTGTTCCTCTTCTTTGACAACACTTCCAATCCTGATGAGAACCTCTGAGGCCCCTTCCACACCACTGAATAAAATTCCACAATTTCTACTTCGAACTGGAATATATGACAGTGTAGACTCCGATAACCCAATTCAAAGCAGATATTGTGGGATCTTCTGCCTTGATATTCCGGGTTGTATGGCTGTGTGGAAGGGCCCATAAATACAATTTGCTTGTTTGTACCTTAACAGTCTGGTGTTCATGTTATTGATGTTTGAGTAGTGGGTTGTTGTAGGCTTTTCGGGCTATATGGCCATGTTCTAGACCTCACCACCTCTGAGGTCTGATCTCACAACCTCTGAGGATGCTTGCCATTGATGCTGGCAAAATATCAGGAGAGTATGCTTCTAGAATATGGCCATATAGCCCGAAAAACCTACAATAACTCAGTGATTCCAGCCATGAAAGCCTTCAACAATACGATGTTTGAGTACTTTGATGCAAAGCCAGTTAATCACACTGACTTTAATAAGACTACATCCATTCAAATCCAGGTATTCTGACTTATCTGTTTTGTAGATCAGACTTTATGGATTGCTTATAAGCTGAGCACTCAAGGTTATAGAAATTTGGGAGGAAAAGACGCTGCCTAGTGGCTCCCCCAATGCCTGTTGGAGAGTTGCAAATGGAATCCAGATTTCCTGACTCTCAGCCCTTTTGTTTTAAATGTGGTCTCTCTCCTGTGTCGCACTTCTGAACATTATCTGAACACAGTATTGTACTACAGAGAAAAGAATGATGGTCAGAAATAATTCACACCACATGTTGTTTTGAAAGGCAGAGCAGGTAGGCATTTTATCGGGACTATGTAGAATGTAAGACTTGTGCCTTTTGCTTCAACTTATGTATCTCTGCTGCTTACTCATATAGTTAGCATTAGGCTGTAAATTCTTGGGTATTTCATCTTCATGGGTAAGGACAAATAATTACAGTACTTTTTTTCCCTTGCTGCAAAAGAATACAACTTTTCCTCTGCTGTATTCTCTCCATATTCTAATGCAGAGTAAAACAATGGGTTTTTTCCACAGACTCCTGATGTTCTTCTCTTCAAAGTAAATCCTCCACAACACTCTAGGACAGACAATTAGCAGGAGAAAACTGCACAGAATTCTTGCTGTTTTTTCTTTCTTTTCTGTGTTGAGCCCCCTTTTGGAATAGCAAGAAACAAAAAGGATTTTGAGCAAAGACTCAGTACAATTGCAGCTCCTGCTGCCGCAAACATTCTCACTGATAAAAAAAAGTCCATCTGCCTAAGTCAGTGGTTCCCACTTCCCAACCTTTGGGCCTCCAGGTGTTTTGGACTGCAACTCCCAGAAATCCCAGCCAGTTTGCCAGCTGTTAGGAACTGTGGGAGCTGAAGGTCAAAACACCTGGAGGCCCAAAGCTTAGGAACCACTGGGCTCAATAAAACAGAAAGCTATCATAATTTAGTGAATTGAGCATTGGACTACAATTCTGGATACCAAGGTTTGATTCCCTGTTTGACCATAGAAACCAACTGGAGTAATGTTGTGTAGCGCTCTCTCATATCCAGAGAGCATTTTGGATTCAAACAATGATGGACCTGGGCCAAACTTGGCATGAATACTCAATATGCCCAAATGTGAAAACTGGTAGAGCTTGGGGAAAATAGACCTTGACATTTGAGAGTTGTAGTCGCTGGGATTTATAGTTCACCTACAATCAAAGAGAATTCTGATCCCCACCAATGATAGAATTGGGCCAAACTTCCCACACAGAACCCCTATGACTAACAGAAAATACTGTGTTTTCTGATGGACTTTGGTGGCCCCTCTGACACCCCCTCATGACCCCTCCAGGGGTCCTGATCCCCAGGTTGATAAACCCTGCAGTATAGAGATATAGGGTAAAATCATATATATCCTGTATAACTTACTTCATTTCAACACATCTGTGAGCACACTCTATTCTAATTAGAACTGATGTTGGATTTAATTTACAATAACCTATCAGGATATAAAGTTTACCGACCATTTTTGTGTGGTGAGCATCTCTTCTGAATTCTGTCAGGTTTAGGATTGCCAGATTGGAAAAAAATAGAGAACTCTTGTACTTTTAATGTTTATGTAAAGGAGGAAATTTCAGCAGATGTTGCTTGTTACCTGGTTTCATGACATGTAACACTTGTTGAAATTCCCTCTTCTACATAAACATTCGTATTAAAGGTTCTGAAGCCATCTCCTGTTTTCACTCTGGCAAACTTAACCAGATTAGGTGTTGACATTTTCTTATGGCAGGAAATCAGTCAAACTTTGCATTGTTCATAAAATGATAAAGCTTAGATCAATTTTTCTTGGAATCTGATTGAGCATTTTCTTACTGTTTCATGATGAGTATGTTAAGAATGATGTTTGCTAATCAGACCCTTAACTGAAAAAGCAATACTTAATCCTCCATCCCTTGCTCCTGATTTCAGGTGGAATGAAAGTTCTCCCACCAGAGTCATGTATTTCCGTCTTCTTGCTAACATGCTTTATGGCACTGTGTAGACTATATGCAGGGGAGGATTGGATTGGCAGGAACTAACCACAAATATGGATCCAGCAGTCAGGAGTTGTTCAGTTCAACTGCACATCTTTCTCTTTTGTCAGATTGTTGGCTGTGATCACCAGCTGGGAAGCACTGTGAAGGAAGACAACTGTGGGGTCTGCAGCGGAGATGGTTCCACCTGCCGTCTTGTTCGAGGCCAATATAAATCTCAGCTCTTGGCAAATAAACGTAAGATGTTGATTTGGCTTTTACCTCAATGGGAATATGAAAGCTCTCCAAACAATGACAGAACTTGGCAGTAAAGTGTGATCAGATAACCATATTACCTGTAATGTACTCCTTTGGTGGGGAACTTGGGCATAATAATGCCCCTTTCGCAAACCACATATGAATGGAAATGTAATTACTTCTTGCATGTGTAATCAGTAATGTTTATTCATTCCTTTTTTCCTTTACATGTTTAAGCACGGGAGAGGTGGAGATAACTTCTTGGCCATTTTGAAGGGACCTTGTCAAATGTTAGGTCATTTTCTTACCTTTTAAAAGATTAAAAAGGAACTTTAACATAATAAAATGCAATGAGTAATGCAACAAAACACTTTTTTACACCAAATAATTGTGATGATATCCCTAGAGGAAGCTTTGTAATATGTTACAAAATAAATTACTTTTTTAAATCTAGTTTTCCAAGATCTAAATAATGATATGTAGAATTATCCTGGTTCCGGTCCAGCTTACCTGTCCAAATGTATCTCCCCCTATGAACCATCAAAGAGGTTAAGATCTTCTGGGGAGGCCCTGCTCTCATTCCCAACTGCTTCGCAAGTGTGGTTGGTGGGGACGAGAGACGGGGCCTTCTCAGTGGTGGCTCCTTGGCTTTGGAACTCTCTCCCCAGTGAGATTAGATCAGCGCTGTCCCTCCTGGCCTTTAGAAAGAGAACAAAGACATGGTTATGGAACCAAGCTTTTGACTAGTGAAATAACACAGTTCAAGAAGCAAATACGGAATATGTGCAATTGACATTTGGAATGGCCTGGTCTACATACCTGGATCACATGATTTATTCGGTGTTTAAATTCTTATATTTCATGATTAAAATGTCTTTTTATTGTATCTTATGATGAATTGTCCCATTGATTTTATACTTCGTTATGGTGTTGATAATAATTTGGTGTACATTGGTAAGGCATTGAATTTTGCTACGATTTCTGTGTAAAGCGCTTGAGTCCCCCCCAGGATTGAGAAAAGCAGTATATAAATACTGTAAATAAATAAAATAAATAGAAAGGGGCTAAGCTATTCTTAAGACTTTAAGAACAACTAAGCAATTTTTAAGAAAAAAATATAATAATAAAACTTTATTTATATCCTGCCCCGAGGACACTCAGGATGGTTAACATTTAACTATACAGAGCGTATCCTATACAGAGCGCAACAAACTTCTGTATTATCCATCTTCTGTGCCAACATTTTGGTCTGTTCATTTTTCTGTAACAGAGGCTAGGAGTTAGGTTTTCCAGATGTGGCAAAAAGACATGACAGCTTTTCCTTAAGTGTTAGAAGGAAGCTCCACAGGTGTGACAATGATGGAAAAAGCTGCACCTGTTGAATGATCACGCAGACAAGAAATAGAGAGCTGTGAAATACATGCAAGCATTTCCTTCATTTGTTTGTGTGGCATACAAACCTCAGTACTTGGGCCCTTAAAGACAGTTACCTCATGTTTGTAAGAGCTCAAAGCAAGAATGGACTTAGAAAAACATGGTGTCCTTGTAGAACACAAGAACATAAAATGGTGCATCAGGCATTATAGGAACAGCCCCTTCCCAGCCTCTGTATGCAGACTTTGGAAGCGGGGCGCATGAGGGAAAAGTGGCTGCTGTACTCTTGATTTCTACCTGTTTTCCCCTGAAATTCTTTTTTTCTGCTGTGGCCCCATTTACACTGCCATTAATAATAATAATAATAATAATAATAATAATAATAATAATAATAATTCACGGGGACCCACGGGGACTCAGAGCAGTTTACAACAAAAGTAATAGAGTGACAAACATTCAATGCCAAAGCAAACAAACAATAAATCAACTGGAACTGAAGCAGCCTGCTGAAGGCCAATGATGAGGCCGTCTTGGGCCCAGCCTGCTGAAGGGTGATGACGACGCCCTCCAGGGCTTGGCATAGTGGAGGGCGATGACAAGGCCCTCCCGGGGCCAGCCTGGTGGAGGCCGATGATTAGGCCTTTTTGGACCCAGCCCGCTGAAGGGCGATGACAACGTATTCCAGGGCCTGGCCTGGTGGAGGGTAATGACGAGGCCCTCCTGGGCCCAGCCTGGTGGAGGCCGATGACGAGGCCCTCCGACCCTGGCCTGCTGAAGGGTGATGACGAGGCCCTCCAGGGCCTGGCATAGTGGAGGGCAATGATGAGACCCTCCTAGGACCTGCCTGGTGGAGGCCGATGATTAGGCCTTCTTGGACCTGGTCTGTTGAAGGGCGATGATGAGATGCTCCGGGGCCTGGCCTGGTGAAGGTAATGACGAGACCCTTCTGGGCCCAGCCTAGTGGAAGCTGATGATGAGGCCTTCTTGGGCCCAGCCTGCTGAAGAGTGATGACGAGGCCCTCCAGAGCCCGGCCTGGTGGAGGGTGATGACGAGGCCCTCCTGGGCCCAGCCTGGTGGAGGCCGATGATTAGGCCTTCTTGGGCCCAACCTGCTGAAGAGCAATGACGAGGCCCTCCAGGGCCTGGCCTGGTGGAGGGTGATGACAAGGCCTCCTGGGTCCATCCTGGTGGAAGCCGATGATGAGGCCTTCTTGGGCCCAGCCTGCTGAAGAGCGATGACGAGGCCCTCCAGGGCCCAGCCTGGTGGAGGGTGATGACAAGGCCCTCCTGGGCCCAGCCTGGTGGAGGCCGATGATGAGGCCTTCTTGGACCTTGCCTGCTGAAGAGCGATGACGAGGCCCTCCAGGGTCCGGCTTGGTGGAGAGCAATGACGAGGCCCTCCTGGGCCAGCCTGTTGGAGGCTGATGATGAGGCCTTCTTGGACCTGGCCTGCTGAAGGGCAATGATGAAGCCTTCCAGGACCTAACCTGGTGGAGGTTGATGACGAGGCCTTCTTGGACCCGGCCTGCTGAAGGGCGATGATGAAGCCTTCTTGGACCCGGCCTGCTGAAGGGTGATGACGAGGCCCTCCAGGGCCTGGCCTGGTGGAGGGAGATGACGAGGCCTTTCTGGGCCCAGCCTGGTGGAGGCCAATGATGAGGCCTTCTTGGGCCTGGCCTGCTGAAGGGCAATGACAAGGCCCTCGAGGGCCCGACCTGATAATAAAATCCAGATTATCAAAGCAGATAATATGGATTATCTGCTTTGATAATCTGGATTTTATTATCAGAATTATATTTTGAGTCTACACTGCCATACAATCCAATTCAAAGCAGATAATCTTGATTTTATATGGCTATGTAGATGGAGCCTGTTCTAGACTCATTCACACACTCATCATGCAAAGATGAATCTGGAAGTACAGGATGAAGGGAGTGGTGCTAACATGTGAAGGACTTCTTCTGCCATTCCTCTAATGTAGTGATTCTCAAATTCTGCTCCTCCAGATCTTTTGGACTCCAGATCCCACAATTCCTGACAGCTGATAAACTGGCTGGGATTTGTGGGAGCTGAAGTCCAAAATATCTGGAGGAGCACAGTTTGAGAAACACTGCTCTAATGAATCAGTGTGATTCATGCAGCCCTCCAGGTCTTGTTGGGTTGCATAAACCCACATTCCTTAGTTTTGGATATAATGGCAGGGACTGATGGGATCAGTGATCCAGCAACATCAATGGCTTAATTCCTAAACCTTCTAAGGGCAAGTTGTAACAGAAAAGAGACAACTGTTACACCTAGCTGCAATTCAACTTGTAGTGCCATTAATCTTTTTTCATTGTTAACACTTAGCTTGTCATCCTCTCTGACCAAATACGAGCACAGCATCTACATTTGCTTCACTTGTGTGTACATGCATGCACCCAGGTCTCTTGGTGTTCACATGCTGAATTTAGAAAGAAAAATGGATGTAACCTAAAATCTAACATGTAATTTCAGATGAGGATGTGTGGGGCCACTTCAGTAGTGTGTCTTATTCCATCTCTTTATGTTTGGTTTCTGTGGGGAACACAGCAGGGAGTTTGCTTACAGAATCTTTTTTGCTGTCTCAGAGATTAGCCTCATGGCTAGAAAGTTTAAGACACACCCTTCATTGGCACAGCTATCTTCTGAACAATCATATATACCACCAGAGATGGGATAGATCTGCTGGTATAAAGTAGGAAGATAACTGGAAGGACAGCTTTATATTCTTGAGGCAGTACTACCTGTGGTGAGGCAGAAATAACATAACCAAGGTGGTTTCTTGGATATCATTGGATTTATGCTAGTGGGTTTAAATTCCCACTGAGTCTTGAAGTTCCCCTTGATCACATGTCATATTGCTCTGTGCTCCCAAGAAAAGATCAAAATGTCAAGAAAGCTATAATTGTTTTCACTTCTCTTCCTCACAGGGTTGCTTATGCATTAGAATTTAATAAACATTGCTAATTAGTTTATTTATGCATATGACAGTTGTACTAGTAACTATCGGTTTTACACAACCACATATTTAACCCATTTTGTTCTGCTTCTTTCTCCGTCCTCTGTATCTTTACTCCTCATTCTTTGCACATACTGTTTAACTGGCTCCAAGGCCAAATCTGCACCTGCAAAGTAATTTCTGTATATACTCGAGTATAAGCCTAGTTTTTCAGCCCTTTTTTTAGGCTGAAAAAGCTCCCCTCGGCTTATAACCTAGTCAAGATTGTTTATTATTTTACTCTATTATTATTATTATTATTATTATTATTATTACATTTATAGGTTAAGTTTATTATTTTATTATTATATTTATTATTTTACTCTATCATTATTGGAAGGATACGTAAACACATATACATTGAAGAAGTTAGAATAATGATTTAGTCAGAGTTGGACAGTCTTATCTTACAGTTTTATGTAAATATTGGGTTCCGGCCCAAGCTACCTATCTGACCGCATCTCTGCCTATGAACCCACCAGGACTTTGAGATGTTCTGGGGAGGCCCTGCTCTCGATCCCGCCTGCTTCTCAAGCTCGGCTGGCGGGGACGAGAGATAGGGCCTTCTCGGTGGTGGCTCCTCGGCTGTGGAACGCCCTTCCTACGG